TGGGTGTTACAAGGTGGCTTGGCCCAGGGACCACTTAGGGTAAGTGTTGGGCCCATAGAGCCCATGAGATGGGTTTTAGGGGGTGCACTGTCCATAACAATGTATTCGGCCAGGCCTTGTGACAAAAGCTGGGCTGAACCCATGTGGCTGATGTGTAGATCAATGTTTGGGTCCCACGCCATACAAGGAAGCCCAACTGGGCAGCAATTTGGGAGGCTAAGTGAGTACATAACCTTAAATGGGCCTAAAGCCCATTTCGAACTGGGCTGATTTGATCAGTTAATTAAATGGGCGAATTCTGGGATGGATTAGATGATATGATTGGGCTTTGACCCTATCCACTTAGAGAGTCCAAAATCTAAATAAGATTTAGATCTGGAAGCCTCTTAATAAGATTAGGAGATGGCTAATCTGATCTGAAGATGAGATAAGGATTCTCCCTTATCACTTAAAGGGACTTCTGATCCAAATATGATTTGGATCAGCAACTCCTAATGGGATTAGGAGCTGATCCCTTTAAGTTTATGAAAGGAGAAGGGGGCGGCAGCCTTTAGACATGCAACACAAGACCCTAGTCTTTAGAGCTGAAATCACAGAAGAGAGATTTCTGCAACATCTGCAAAATTTTCTTGCCGCCTCCTTCCTGCCGTCGCCATAACCTCTGTTCAATCTCCAAATTCTTGGGAGAAATCAAGATTTGATCTTGACAATCAATCTTTTGGTGGGAGCTATATTCACGTGCCATCCTACTGGTTCTTACGAAGGATCAGGTTCTTGGAGAATGCTGCTGATTCTGCTTCATTCTGCACTGCGCCATTTTCAGTGGGAGCAGATTTTGGATCATTCCTTGGGCGTGAACACCTCCATTGAGAGAAAGTATTTCTCTGTATCATGTATACCTCTCTCCTTCTTCTTTTGGCTCAGATCTGGTTTGGTTCATGGTTCAAGATTAATCATTGAAAAATGTGTTTTTCAAAATAGGGAATTCGATTCCTAGCAGAGATGGGAGAAATTTTTTTGAAATTCGCCCAGTCCATTCTGCAAGATTTGGACGTCCATATGATGGATATCCCATCCCTTCACATTTTTCATAAAATAATAGTATATATAATGTATAAATACATTTTACAAAACTAGCTTTCAAATACATTTGAAATCCATTGCCGGTAGTTTAGGTTTGCATCGAAGAGTGTAAACCTTGATATTCATTTTGTCCGACAAAAGGGCCAATTTTATCACTATGATCACCCACTTAGGTGATTTCCCAAACTACTCCAGCATGCCTAGGTATTTGACCCTTGATAGATCTCATTGATTTGACACATCAAAGATAATCCAGTTAAATGCTTAATGCAATACCATAATCAAGTCGTAGATTATGTGTAATCCCATATCAATACAAAGAGCAACAATGAATTCTATTAATAAAAAGAAAAATCTATTAATCAAACTCAAATAGTGAATTCAAGATACCCAAAGTTGAACACCCAAAGGAAGAGAAGTAGCGTTACTAGTGGATTTAAAGTCTTTATTGTGATATACATATGTTATTGGAGAGAATTTGAAAATTTTTAAAGTCATTGTACTGTGAGGGAAATGGATGATAGTGGCCCACTTTAATATTTTGCATAGGTAAATGCCTTTTTTATACATTTCTTTTCAATATCTCATTTACTACATTCTCTAACAATTTATATGTTATGATTTATGATTTGTAGGTTTAACCATTATGCCAAGTGGATTTACATCAAAAGAAAAGCTACATTATTTGAGAAGTTGAATTTTTTTAAAACCCTTGTACTTGTTATGTCAATCGCATATTGTATTTTGACAATTTGTTTTGGATATTAATAATTAGTCTTTAAACTAATAGGTTTTGTTTTAAATTATAATTTTCATTTAAATTATTTTTTATATATTAATTGCCATGAGATTTGTATTTAGCAGTTATTAAAGTGGTAAATCAATAACAGTGCAGGTGCAAAAAAATGTTAAAATTAACCATGCATAAAAATAAAATAAATCTAACCCAATGATCACCCAACTACTCATCTAACCATAAACAAGACCTAAGGCGACAATCAGAAAGAAATGAATTTTCCCTTGAGGATAGTTTAAAAAATTTAGCCATAAATCATTCAAATACTGATTTAATCAAATTAGGTAGACCATAAAAATCAGAAAAAGTAGGTGGTAAGAGTAAAAGTTGTCCATTCTCCTTTCTCCCCCTTTTATTTTTTTCGTTTTTCTTCTTTTCTCCCGATTTACAAATCGAAAGACAAACCTGACGTGTGGAACAAAAAAGCAGGTCTATGACTCCAGGTCAACTTTGTCTTCTAGTGCGGCACTGAGGTCTTAATACTGTTTGAGGTAGTGTAATCCGCCAACCCCACTAGCCACTTAGAGCATATCAGGACACGTGGAGTGGTCAAGTGACTTGTCTGATAATGGGCCCATAGATTTCGTGAAGCTGATCAATCGAATCAACAGTCTAGATCTGGTATAGTAAATCATTACAATACATCCACTTCTATGATATCACTCGTGCCGTGTAAGAGGACGTCTCGTGGTCGAACCGCGTAGACACCGCCATGCCGTCACGAAAGTACGAAACAACGTTCAGACTTCTTCTTATGAGTTGCCGAAGTGGAGACCGAAAAGTAAAAACAGTTGGAGTCTTGGAGGGGTCTGGCTACTGGGCTTTACCCTTTTTTTCTTTTCTTATTTTTTCAAATAATTTCGTTTCATTCTTCTACTGGCCCAGCAACTGGATTTCGACGAATCGACCAAGATCAGATCAGAGTCTCCTCGTTCAGTTGGCTGGCGGATATCTATCTCTGTTGGGTGAGTATCTTTTACCTCAATCGTTTCACCTGTGTTTTGTTTTTTAGTTATTTTCTGGGATTTTTCATTGAACCCATTTGTTTTAGTCTTTGATTTAGGGCTTTCTGCTTGTTAGATCCTTGATCTTCTTTCTCCATCTTTGCCTCGTAATCTAAATCTATGTTTTATGACAAATGGGTTCAACTGGGTTCTATACTTTGAGTTCTGATTTTGTGATTTGAGTTAGAAAATGGCGGAGGGAAGGATAGATGGAGAGAGCTCTTTCGAATGTCTTGTAACCAAGCTTTTAAATTGAGCATGAAAACTGGTTTGAAATCCTTTTTTTCCTTTTTTGGTAAAGAAACATGGGTTGAAATCAAGTGCGTAATCTATGTTCAATTTGTTTGGGGCAGAGCTTGAAATGGGGTTCAACTTTTTGTTTGCTTTTAATTGGTTGATGAAATAGGGAAGCTATTGCTGAGATAGAAGAGATTAATCTAACTGTCTTTGTGGGTAATGTTGCAACAAGATTCCATCACTTGCACTGGTGGGAGTTATGTTTGTTATGTTTCTGATTAGTTTCTATTTGTGAAATTATTGCAGGTTCCATGGTTATTACATTACTTGTGACTTCTGGAAACTCTGTAAGGATAATGGGTAAATTGTGGGAGCATTTTTCAACTCTGTTCTTATACCGGTTCCCTGACGTGTTACGCAAGCAGCGAGGTGGTGCTACATTGTTTTCATGCATTTGAGCTTCACAGTTCTAAGATGAACTTGTGTAATTTTTCTAACAAGTAAAATATATATGTAATGGCCTTGAGCATAATTGCAGGAAATATTTCTGCTATAATGAGTCGTATAGCAGCCCCTCATTCTCCAAATGTATCTTCGGTATCACCTGGACTGTTACCTTCAGCAGGTCCAGATGATGACTTTAATTTACTTAACCCTAGACAGAAGAACAATTTGAAACTTTCCAAATCCCTCCAAGATTTATCTGCATACAAATTTGAACGAGAAGAAGATGATTTTAACATAGGAAATAATGAGAATGCCCGTCATGCAAAACTGCTTCATCCCTTACAGAGAGAAAGTGCCACAGCAAGTTTTTCAAAGGAGAAGGCCTTGTCAGCATCCCCATTTGCAAGGAGGAAATGGATGCGAGCAACCATGGCCATTGTTTGCCTGCTTTTGTTCGTTTTCCTTATCTATGTAGGTGCTAGGTATTTTAGTACTTTCTGGTCTCAAAGAACATCAAAATATTATGTTGTACTTGATTGTGGAAGCACTGGAACTCGGGTTTATGTATATCAGGCATCTATTATTCATAAAAAGGATGGCAGACTTCCTATCTCACTCAAGTCATTACCAGAAGGAATTCAAAGGAAATCTATGTCACGTGCTGGCCGTGCTTACCATCGAATGGAAACTGAGCCTGGGTTGGATAAACTAGTCCATAATGTATCTGGGTTAAGGTCAGCAATAAAACCACTTCTTTCATGGGCAGAGAAGCAAATTCCTAAACATGCTCATAAGAGTACTTCACTCTTCCTATATGCTACAGCTGGGGTCCGAAGGCTGCCACCTTCAGATTCACAATGGCTTCTTGACAAAGCATGGTCTATATTGAAGAATTCATCATTCTTGTGCCAGAGAGACTGGATTAAGATTATCACGGGCATGGAGGAAGCTTATTATGGATGGATTTCTCTTAACTATCACATGGGTATGCTAGGCTCCATGCCAGCAAAAGCAACATTTGGGGCACTTGATTTAGGTGGTTCGTCATTGCAGGTTACTTTTGAGACTAAAGAACTCATGCATGATGAGACTAGTTTAAACCTGAGCATTGGAGCCATTAACCATCACCTTAGTGCCTATTCTCTCTCAGGTTATGGTTTGAATGATGCCTTTGACAAGTCTGTGTTTCATCTTCTCAAGAAGCTCCCTGGGATTACTAAAGCAGACCTAATTAAGGGTGCCATAGAACTTAATCATCCCTGCTTGCAATCTGGCTATAAAGAAAGATACATCTGTTCCCATTGTGCTTTGTTAAATGATGAAAGTGGGAGCCCTCTGATGGGTGGGAGGAATCTGGGTAAAGGAGGAAAACCTGGATTTCCTGTGAACCTGATTGGTGCTCCACAGTGGAAAGAATGCAGTGCACTCGCAAAGATCACTGTCAATTTGTCTGAATGGATGGATTTAAATCAAGGACTTGATTGTGAGCTGCAACCTTGTGCTCTTAGTGAAAGTTTACCCCGTCCCCATGGGCATTTCTATGCCATGTCTGGCTTCTATGTGGTTTTTCGGTTTTTTAACTTGACATCAGAAGCCACTCTTGATGATGTATTGCAGAAGGGTCAGGAATTCTGTGAAAGAACATGGGAAATTGCAAAGAACAGTGTTGTTCCACAGCCTTTTATAGAACAATATTGCTTTAGGGCACCATATATTGTGTCTCTCTTGAGAGAGGGCTTGCACATCAGCGATCACCGAGTGTTTGTTGGTTCTGGTAGCATTACTTGGACACTTAGTGTTGCTCTATTGGAAGCTGGTCGAACATTGTCAACTGGAATGGAGCTCCACAGCTATAAAATACTTCAAATGAATATAAACCCACCCCTTTTTGCTCTAGCGTTCATGTCACTGGTGCTTATTCTATGTGCATTATCATGTATTGGAAATTGGATGCCGAGATTTTTCCGAAGGCCCTACCTCCCACTTTTCAGGCATAACAGTACAACTTCTACATCTGTTCTCAATATTTCATCACCATTCCGGTTCCAGCGTTGGAGTCCTATCAGCTCAGGTAAGCTTTGTATCGACAATTATGCTTATGCATTCAGTCTTCCATGGTTTATCGTTTTCCAAATAATATCCATATATTTTAGATTGTGTTTCTTATATTCTTAAAAGCTTTAGTGGGCTAATAGTTGTTAATTTATAAATTTGTTCTTTTTCTTAGAAAGCAAAGGAGTTCTGTACAAATAGTCTGATGTTCTTATTCTGTACATAGTTCGGGTCACAGAAACTAGAACTTACAGTGTTGTCAATCTTAACCGGTTGAAGACCGCTATAGACCACATGGTTGTCAAGGCAAATAGGTAAATTTAGGTGACAGTATGGTGCCTTTTGCCTTGGTGCCCTCCTAGGTGTTGCCTAGACAATAAATTTTTGACAAGTTCATAGATCTCGAGGTTATTTTTTAGTTACATTAGCAATCAGAAAGCACAAAAATTGAAGTACCAAAGAATTTCTTAAAGAGTGGTAAATTTTATAATAAAATATACAGATAATGAAATCCATAAAACAATAGCATTTTTAATTGTTGATTACAAATGTGCAATTTTCAAACATACTATTTAAATACAGTGAAAATATGAACAAATTAGAACTAATCAATTAGCAGATTCACAAGTTAAACAAACTAATGAACAACTAAATTAATAAGAGTAAAATAGTGGTGAGACACATAGGGGTCATTATTTCGGTCCTCTGGGCCAAACTTCAAAGATTGACTGAGATTTCCAATCTCAGGTGCTCCTTGTTTTTGTTCATGAGCTGCCCAAAAAGATTATGGTTATTTCAAATATCAATTAATTGCACTATTTGAAACTGCAATGAACATAAGCAGGCTTTAGATCAATGTTTTAAAAGGCATGGGAGGTGTGCCTCCAGGCGAGGTACCCCCAAAATTCCTTGAGGCATATGTCAAAGGCGTTGATACCCCTATGCCTTTTCATGAGTTGTGCTAGAGGCATACACCTCATGTGCCTCACACACACACCTCATACAAAAAAGACAGAAAAAGGAAAAAAGAAAGAAAAAGCAAAAGAAAGGGAAGAGAAAGAAAAAGAAAGGAAAGAAGAAAAGAGAAATGAAAGAAAAGAAAAGGGAAGGCTGTATTGTGGAGAGGTACCAACTCGTGCCCCTCCTTTGGGAAGGCTGTATTGTAATATCCTATTGATTTATTGAATAAAATTTTAATCATTTATCAAAAAAAAAAGAAAAGAAAAGGGAAGGAAAGATAAGGGGAGGTGCCCCCAAAAGATGATGGTTATTTCAAATATCAATTAATTGCACTATTTGAAATTGCAATGAACATAAGGAAGCTGTAGATCAGTGTTTTAAAAGGCATGCCTCTAGTCAAGGCGCCCCCAAAATGCCCTGAGGCATATGCCAGAGGTGTGATGCCTCTGAGGCATGTGCATACACCGTTTTCATGAGGAAAAGAAAAAGGAAAGAAAAAAGAAAATAAATGAAAGGAAAAGAAAGGCAAGGGAATGAAAAAGAAAGAAAAGAAAAGGGGAAATACAGTGGGCTGGGGGCTCTGCCCCTGGACCCCCTTGAAGCCCCTAGACCCCCCAATCCCTTTTCTATGTATCCCATTTTGGTTATTTTGTGCTAGGGAGGTCTTGCTTGGCTCCAACTCGCTTGCCTCCAACTTGCTTGCCTCCGCTTTGACAAGACCTCTCCCCCCCTCCCCCTTTTCAGTTAGTGTTATGCATCTTCATTCTTCTTAATACAAAAGATTTCTATTAAAAATAAAGAAAAATGGGGTCCTCCTTCCTCTTCTTCTTCCTCCCCCTCCTTCCTTCATTCCCCTCCTGTTAAGGAGGCTTACACCTCCTTTTCATGCTTCACTGCTTTTGCTTAATGTCAATCCATGCTTCTTGAGTGTAAGTACTGAGCTATGTACAGAAACTATATGTACAGAGGACCATATATCTATACTTTTCTTTTCAGTTAATACAATATACTTTACCATTTTCAAAAAGAGTACTAGACTATGTCTGAAACAAAAACAGAGTTATTCAGAGCTGCTAGAAAGGGGAAAGCTAGAGTTCTTGAGGTGGCCATGAATTAAATTGACAAGATGTATGCCTCATAAGGGTGCTACCGGAATGAAATGAAAAAATTCACATGGCTAACCAGGAATATGAATTTGAGGATTCAATGGGTGAGGAGATCAGCAAATGGGGTGGCGGATGCTTTGGCTAAGCAAGGGGTGAATAGGTCTATTTTATTCAGGGCACACCTGTAATGTTTTTCTTTTTGTAAGAGAGGTACCAGCTTGTGCCTCTCTATGGAATGCTTGTAAAGATATGACAAAGTTTATTAATAAAACTCAAGTTATTTATCAAAAAAAAAGGATGTATGCCTCAAGAATATCATTAGATTTTAGCAGTGAAAAAAAGAAGACCATTAGATTGGTTAAGTTAAACTGGAGTAGTCTTTATTTTAAGCAATTATTTGTATATTTATTAAAAAGTTAAAAGGTAAATACAATATAAAACATCAAAGCCATATAGAGGTCTATTGAACAGTCTATTTTATTTCTCTTTTGTCTCAAGAGTAATTTGTGAGTCAACAAAAACACACCATCCTTAATTTTACATTCTTAGGTATTCCTTTTCAACTCGAGTTTTTTTTCTTTTGATAATTTTTTATTTTTTTAACTTGAGTTTCTTATTCAACAAATCCCATCTTATCAATATCTTTCAAACAACAAAAAAGATTCTTGTCTACCAAGTGCTTTATTTCAAGTAAGGCTTTTAGAATCAATTTCAGTTATATGTTCTTTCAGGAGACGGGAGAGTAAAGCTGCCACTAAGTCCTACCATTGCTGGCTCCCAGCAGAGACCTTTTGGTTTTGGATATGGTTTGGGAGGCAGCAGCATCCAGCTCATGGAGTCTTCCTTACATCCACCTACCAGTAGTGTTTCACATAGTTATTCCTCAGGAAGCTTGGGGCAAATGCAATTTGATAATGATGGTGGAATGGGTTCATTTTGGGCCCCTCACAGAAGTCAGATGCGCCTTCAAAGCAGGAGATCACAGTCTAGAGAAGACCTTAATTCATCACTGTCTGAGGCACACATGGTGAAGGTCTAAAACATAATGCTGGTAGGAGCACTTATTTTTTGAAACTATATTAATTCTAGAAATAGCAATACTAAGTTCTCAATAGAAACATTTTATCTTTTTGAAATTCAATTATTCTGTACCATAGAGCTCTCACATCAGTTTCAGAGTCAACTGACATAATAAAATGGGACTTCTTTTTTTGATATTTTTCTGTTGTATGTACTGACAACCTTCAAATGTGCTACTAACCTCTCACAGACATCATCATCAAACATGAATATTGCTTGTGCTTTGAAATAAAGTGCATCTATGTTTTAGGGTCTAAAGCAACTAAGCGACATAGACTCCACAAAATCTAGGATAAAATCATCCTCAGTGATTGTCCGCTTTTCTGCTTCGGAGCATGCATTTACTTTGAACATTGGTGATAATACCATACTTATTAATTATCTTACAAGTGTTCAACATTATTCGCTAAATTATATAGTAAAGTCTCATTCTGTTCCAGTATGATTTGCTCATATGCTCCTAGAGTTGCAGCAAAGTGTTCCCTAGGACAGGACTGGGGCCTAATAGCAAAATTGTCAGAGATCCAGAACATGCGTTAATTGAACCAAGTTTGTTCTACTGCTTATGACTTTGAGCCATAAATTTCGTTGTTATTCTTTATTTTCCTGTTATAAGTCATTAATGCCATGAATATTGGTTTATATTGTTCTGAAAAAAAAATCTTTGGACCTTTCTATCATTGAACTTCAGCAATTTATCAGATTAGGACCACATTCTCATTATACTCTGGTTCTTTGATCAATCAGTCTGAATAAACATTATAACAACTTGTCTGTTTGTTTGAAGATTTGACTTTTATCAGCTGCCATGGATTGAGGACAGCTCATTGGTATTCATCCGTGAGCTGACAAGATGGTATTTTGTAGTCATCTCAAGATGTAAAGAGAATTACTTGTGAAGATTGAACAGTATCAGGATACCTCATAAAACTTGCAATTTTTTGGCATTCTCTCTCTCTCTCTCTCTTTTTTTTATTCTTTTTTTTTTCCATCTTTCAGTATTATGCTTTGGCATCTAACCCATATCATATGTTCTAGTCTTCCAATTTCAATTAACTAGCGGTAGCGGCAATGAGTTTGGTTTAAAACAAGAGAATTTAGGTGGGGTGGGTGGATTAGACAGCGTCAACAGAACAAACAAATACCAGCCTGACAGCATGTTAGCATCTGTAGCATTTCATGTGTACTTATTGGAGCTTTGGTGAAATATCTTTTCCTTGTCCAAATAAAAAAGTAGGAATATGTAGTCGGAATTAGATCATTCCAAATAATGTTTCTCACCATTTCCCTCCAATAGTTTTACTGATCAATCCCATTATAACCACCAACTTCAATTATCAAATATTTAACCAAACAATAGTGAAAAATGAAAAGTTAGTGGTAGTTATAATTTGTGACAATTGACAGGTTAACTATTTTTTTTTATTCTCACGGGGCTACCCAACAGGAGTGGCCCATCCCTTTGACGAGCAAGGTTTATCGGCTGGCTGTAGAACCAATGATGAGGTTCCACGCCAGTAATAAAAAACATGGGGCCCACACCTTTTACAGTGGGGCCCATGAATTTATTACTGGCATGGAACTTCATCATTGGTTTTACAGCCAGCCAAACAGCTACACCTCCCCTGGAAATTTATCAAGCCAAAACAGGTGAGGGCATTATTTTCCCATATTGAAAAGAGTATAAATACAAATATATACAGTACAAATACATACAAAATATAAGTTTTTGCATTGTACATATTTGTATTTGTACTCCTTCCAAACTGAGCTTAAACTGTGTTTGTTTGTAATGCAAATTTCATCTGAATATAAATTTTGCACCCAGTTTAGTTTTGTATACATTTGTTTGTGATTATCATTTGCATTCATACTTGATGCAAAATTTGCACTTTTGCACCTAGTTCAGTGCAAAATCATGTATTTTGTATTATTATGTATGTATTTGTACTGTATGTATTTGTACTCTATATATTTGTAGTTGTATTCCTTTTGGAAGGAGTGCAAAATCATGTATTTTGTATTATTTTGTATTATCATGTATTTCGGAAGGAGTACAAATACAAATATGTAGAGTGCAAAACCTTATATTTTGTATGTATTTGCACTGTATATATTTGCATTTGTACTGACTCGATTTGAAAATAGTGCAAATACAAATATGTAGTGTAAAACATTGTATTTGCATTGTATTCAGTATTTCTAAATCTTGTATTTGCATTATACATATTTGTATTTGTACTCTTTCTTTGTCTCATTTGCATCCATTAGCAGTGTAAATTATGCATCCACCTTAATTCTCTCGTATAATGAACAGACTATATCAATTTGGTTCCTACCTTATCCCCTCTCCCCATACCCAAATAAATAACCTTACTCCCTCATTTCTCTTTCATTTAAATAGGAGATTATAGAATTTTACTTCTTACAAACAAATAAAACAATGTCAAATATGACGTTAAAATAAACTAAGGTTTTATACTCAGTCCATTTGCACAATTGCACTACTATGCTGTTACATCAGTTCAAATGAAATTTGCACTGTGACCAAATGGAGCTTAAGCAATATTTGCCTGCGATAGAATAAATAAACATTGAGAAACCTATCAGGTACTTAACAAACCTGAGCTAAAGTTTGACTATCAACAGTTTTTTGAAGGCAGCACAGAAAATAATAGAACGCAGTTACTAAAAAATGCAGTCCAGTTAATCGGTGGTCACTTTGTCGCTATATGAAAAAAAGAAAGATGGCAATATTTTGATACAAGACTATGCAAACCGAGGCATTAATCTTCTCATAGACCTCCCTGGTTTCCTCTTGAGATTTGCTTCAGTTGTGGCATGTGGTTTTTGGTCACTCACCTTGGTGGTTCTACAATTTGTATCGCAACTTTATAGAGTAATGTTAGAACTTTCTCTTGTCAGTCAATGTGGGTTGTTATTTCTATTACAAAATGCTCCTCCTATGTTGGTGTTACTAAGGCTCAGTTTAGAAGCAGTACAAAAGCAAATATGTACAGCGTAAATACATACAAAATATAAAGTTTTGCACCTTACATATTTACATTTGTACTTCCAAACTAAGCCTAAGGGGTTCCACCAGCATTCCCATGTTTATGCACCATGATCATTGGAAAAGAATGACTAGCAACAATCAGATATAAGAATGCATTATCACAAATCAGGATTGGTTGTAGATCATATGATCCAAGACCTCATTTTCCACAATAACCACAATAACATGAAGCAACCAAGTTTAAATTTGGTTTGCTTTACACTGGGTGAAAGTGAGACAATGAACTAATTTCTGTCATTGAAACAATTTACTAGTGTGGGCTTGTCTTACAATATCGGTCTCAGGCCCAGATAAAGGAGGGTTGGATCAAGTTGGAAGCTGACATTCTGACTAAAATTTTTGCCAAACTATCAAGGTCATGGTCATTAGGGGTGTCAGTTGGACTGGATTTGGTTCAATCCGGTCCAATCCAATGTGAGTCCATTATAAATGGGCCAGGCCCAATCCAATCCAATAAATGTTTTGGACCAATTTGGATTGGTCCAATTTAATGTCTGGACCGTTCAATCTGTTCAAATTCATTTTGATTTAGATTGGTTTCAACCCAAACCTTGTCCATTGACACATATATTCTTATCTTATATCAGTGGACCAAATATTGGCTTAATCTAATATAAATTTGTTACAGATGGACCAGGTCCAATCCAATCTAATAAATATTTTGGACCGGATTGGTCCAATCTAATATGTCTTATTGGTCCATCCAATCCGTCCAAATTAATTTTGGACTGGACTGGATCCAATCCATAACCGGTCCATTGACACCCTTAATGGTCATGGTCTTGATTTGTGAACAGACCAGAATGGCGAAACAAGATTAATTCATGGGAATGATGTTCAAGGTTTAGAAGTACAAGAACCTACCAGAAGGACTGGCAAATAGTTCTTAGGCTCAGTTTGGAAGCATTAGTGGGTATTATTTTATATGTAGAGTGCAAAACCTTGTATTTTGTATTATTTTATATGTATTTGCACTGTATATATTTACATTTGTACTCCTTCCAAACTGAGCATTAGTGGGTGATACATGCATTCATATATTAGTTCATTGCTAAACCTCCAAATTCATGAGAATGGCACGGCACACTCCATGGAGAATAGGTGGTTAAAACAGTTATATTTCAACATGTAAATTGATTGTATGATCATGTTTATGCAGTTAATCAACTGCCAGGAAATTCTGATGCATGTATAGATTGGAGCACCCATGAAGGATTTAATTAGCTCTCAACCTACCAATTGGTATATAATAATATCATCATGGATTCACTTTCCTTTTTTCTTCAATTTTTTTTCTTCATGGTTGGTAATATTATAGAGGAAATTGAATCATTTGATTAAATCAAACTTCCAAACATATTATTGGCTTGATTTGAGTTAGGGGTGCAAGTCAACCACCCAACTTGAAGGAATAACAAGGAGGCATAGCCTAGAACCTTGTTTTGTATTAGGTTCATATTTGCATTGCAAAGGGTGCATTTGGTTGCAGTATGAATTTTATTTGCATTGGTGTAAATGTATTTGTCTTATTTGTTTGTGAGAAATAAAATGGGAAGCAAAATGAACTAACCTCCACTTAAATGAAAGAAAATGGAGGCAAGATATGAGATATTTGTCTTGGAGTAAGAGATGCAAGATGATGTGATCCTCACTTTATATGTGAATAAATTGTTTGGAAGAAGGTGGTACACATTTTGCATCAATTTTTGTGATGCAAAATTTTCACTGCTAGTTGAATGCATGAGACAAAAGGTACAAATTTTGTATCATGTGGGAATGCAAATCATAAATACAAATAAAAGCAAAACTGAATTAGGTGCAAATTTTGCACCTGATCAAGATTTGCACTGTAGCCAAACGCAACCTTAGTATTTAATGGTGTCATTGAATTCTAATGTATGATCTCGCCAAGTAACTTGTTCCCTCAACCCAAAATCCATGTAGAAGCTGAAGGGTGTGTTTGGTTTGAAGGAAAAAAATAGGGAAAGGTAAGGAAATCTATATAAATACATTTCCTTAGTTTGGAAGGAGTACAAATACAAATATATATAGTGCAAAACCTTGTATTTTGAACTATTTTGTGTATATACACTGTACATATTTGTATTTGTACTCTTTCCAAACTAAGCTTTATTTTTTCATTCAAACCAAACAGAGCCTGGTTTGAAACCCTACCTTTTCTTTCAAACAAAACACAACCTAAAAGTATATTTCAATATCCTTAGCTACTTATCAGCTATACAGCTCTAGATTGAATGCTCAAAAGAGGCAGTTGTTGCTGCCAAATCTGGAGCTGAGGGCAGTTAGGTAACTTCCCAAGTGATGAGGCCGAGAGTTCCACCTGCAAGAAGTCAAAAGACGTTAGAGTCCCCGAGATGTGTAATCCCTTTTATAGCCAGGGCAAGTTAGCAGATGACTTTGAGAAGGCCAAGGTCACAAAGAGCAAGAGCACTTGGAGTGATTTAGTATGCGTAAGAGAGGCACTTAGGGCCTTGGAATCCCTTGTATAGCCAGAGTTGCACAGGAGCCCAACATGGTGGGCAAGATGTAATTGTTCTGCTTGCCAGGGGACAAAATGGTGGTAGTTACCGAAGCGCGATCCTCGCGGCCGAGCGTTACCTTGCCATTTAATGCATGGAGGAGCTCGGTCGAGATTGTAACATCCGCAATTAACATTGCCACGAATTGATGATGATGACCTTGGTTGAAGCTGAGACGATGAAAATGCCCTTCAAACATGCCATGTATCGTCCGCTGGTGGAGCGATCAATAGTGCTTTGGATGAAGAAATAAATTAGAGAGAATCCTTAATCTTTTCCTCTTGGTTGAGTGTTTCTTTTGGTTATTGTAGTGTTTGAAGAAAATCGATGAATTTGTAGA